TTTACAAAAAAAAAAAAATTTTAAAAAAAAAAAAAAAAAAAAAAAAAAAAAGGAGATTGATCTGATTCAACTTCAGGCAGTGAGGAAAAAATACCTGTGCCTTTTTATTCCATGTGTAAACTTTCAACTGGACATTTGTCTTATAGAAATTGCTGAAAGTAAATCATTGGATTAAACTCTATTCTTGTGTTAAAATATTTTTACTCTTCCAATAAATGTCTTCAAATTAAAATGGTTAAATATTTAAAGATAATTCAGATTTAAATTAAGCTGCTGAAATAAAAATATCTCCAGACTTCCTGTATATTTCTACGTCAGGTGCCATGGAGTCGAGGCCGGCTTACAGAGTGCGCCGTCCATCATCACAGCACAAAGCGCTCCGGTTTCAGAGATCGTCTAAGTATTGCAACAATTACGGTATGAGAGGAAATGGAAAAGATGGGACACAGAGCCATGTAAATAATCTGTGCCAACAGCCCAGAGACTTCTCCCTGGTCTCTTTCATTAGGTCCTACAGCTTGAAGATCAAAGCCCAATCAGGCTGATGTTCCTCAGGAGAGAAGACTTCATGCACAGATGCTGCTGTCCTGATTACACTTTATGGGCCATGACTGGATCCAGTTTGGAGGCGACAGTGACGGGACAGATTCTTGGGACACACAAACTCAGCACAGCTCAATCCAAATGCTTTATTAAACATCTTAAAAGCATTTCCTCTCATTCATCACCATTTGCGGTCATCGGCAGAGTAAACACCGAGCTATTCCAGGCAGCTCCGCTATTTCATTTGATTCCGCTGTTACTCATAGTTTGGGCTTTGCACACTCCCTTCCCGACCACTTCAAAGGCGGCTCCCTTGTAGGTCGCGACGCAGAGGTCGTCGGTGCGCAGCTCAGGCTGAACCTGCTCCCACACTTTCTTTTTAGGGTTCAGCTCCTTGTCTGGTTCACCTGAAACGGAGGAAAACAAAGTCTGAACCCGAGTTCTCCTGAAGCAAACAGCTGGTTCCTGCTTCCAGAACCCTTTTCCCCTCCTTGTGTAACCTGTAGAGAACACAACTTCAATACACTTAGTTTGACTTTCCGTCATGTTCCATTTGAGCCTTGGCCCCATAAAACGCCTGTTTGTTCTCAGCGGTAATCTAAACCATGGAAACCCGAGTTGATCTCAGGGAAACGGAGAGGTGAGGTTCTCATTCCACCATTCTGATCTTCTTTAGCATCTGTCAAAACTCATGCAACCGTGTTTCATTTCTGGAGGCTGGCTTGCAGCTAATCAAATCAGAAGCTTGAAAGAGCTTCTAATTGGGAACTTGTGTTGATGTTTGGGTTCCAGCAGACATCCTCGGCCGTTTCAGGGAGTAAAAGTGAGCTGCAACCGCTCACCTTTTGGGAAATGTGAGTAATTAGACAGTGTGTTGGCACTGCAGGGTTTATTAGGGAAAAGAAAGTAAACAGGAGGTGAGCAAAAACCCTCTGTGTATTTTTGTTGTTTTTACAAGAGTCTTAGAGGGATCCAATTAGTTGAACATGTTGGCCTAAATATGCTGTAATTTTCCTATTGACTAAAAAAAATTGCAGTTTAAACAACATGGCAACGTCCGTGTGTGTTCTACCTGAGGCTGCAGTCACATGCAGAGACTGTTACAGTTATTATATGAGAACATGGCTAAAGAAGGGACTAAGAGCCAGGAGACAGTGTGCAATAACTGTTATTTTAAATCATTAAATCATTCCTCTAAATTAATTTGTCCACATGTAAAGTGCAAATTTAAATGCTATTTTGTAAACTTGATGTTGGCTAAACATCGACGTTGAAGTTTTGGCTTTTTGGAATTCTTCTGAGATTCATGCTCTTATTTTGAAGTCCGTTTATGCAGCACTTCCGCTTCCTCTGCTGTCCTCCTCTCTTGTCATCCAATAAATTTTATTTAAACTGTTTTTGTTTGTTGGTTTACAACCAGCCAGGAGTGTTAATGAAACAAAAACATGGAAAAATCCACATATATGTAGTTTTTTGAGAGCCTTCTCATGTTCACCTTGTTACTTTTGGAGGGTATAAACATGGCTGAAATTAGCTCTTTAGCTAGATTCCATGCTGGTGTTGCTCTTTAGCATTAGCTTTCACTGAATGTCATGTTGGTGCTTTAGCGATAGCAGAACTAATTTTTATGATTAGGGCCTTAGGGTGAGTGCAACAAACTTTTTGGCTAACGGTGCTCACTACTGGTTTTCATCTTGATAACCCAGACTGATGACATCTGGCCGCCCTTCCTGCAAACTCACAGGGCTGAAGTCCAGAGATCTCTGTCGTCCTACAGCAACTACAAGTGATGCTTCCTCATGTGTTTAGTATCAGCTGAAGAGAAGAACAGCCTGAAGGGATACAGTTGGAAACGCAGGGATCACAACTTCCTGTTTTCATCCTGAAAACAAAGAGTGTGCTCCTTCTCTTAGAAAGCTTCTTATCCCTCAACTTCAGCTGCATCCCTGCTCCAACACCTGAATTAAATGGAGGGATTCCCTCATCATTCCATCGCTGTTTATTGAATTCAGGTGTGCTGGAGATGGGATGCACCTAAAAGCCACAGGATGACGGGCATGGGCACCCTGCTGTCGTTTTTGCACGCTGCTTTAATAGACAGGAAGTTAACGAGACGCGGTTTCCTTTCAAACCTCGTTCACTTGGATCAAACCTAAGAGAAATAATTAGGACGCTCATTTCCTCAGCAAACTGCAACAAGACGGTCAGGTTACAGTCTGAGCGACGACGGCTGATTGGCCGTTAAGCCCAGCAGTCACAGTTCATTTAAACAGCAGCAAACAGAACCCTGAGGTGGGTTTAGAGACCCGTTCTGTGGCGTCTTCAAGCGTTCAAGCCCATGATGTCATTTCTGTTTTAATGGCACCCCTCATTTCCTAAAGATAGGAACCATTTGTGGACTCTAAGGAAGGTTTCATGACCCATAGATTCCCATTCTTCTGCACGGACACACACCTGGAAAGCCTTGGACACTGACTCTGTCCCCGGGGACGGATCCGCTCGGAGGGTCCAGGATCTCCACTTTGTCTGGCGAGCTGGCACACATGACCATGGCCTGGGACACCACGCCTCTCATCTTGGCCGGTTTGAGGTTACACAGCATCACCGCCATCCGGTTCTGCATCTGCAGGGAAACCGAGTCAGAAAGTGAAATCTGGATCCCAGTTCTTCGGTTCTGTTTGCGGCCCGTATCAGGAGAAACAAACAGGAACTTATCAAACATTCCCAAACAATCCTTCATTGAGGCAAAGACAAAGCATTTCATAAAATAATGTTATCTTTTGAGATATCACAACAGAAATCAGAAAACACTGTCGTGTTTTCGTCTGTGGGCAGTTTGGCAGCATAAACACCCCAGATATTCTAAACTGAGCCGTAATTATTGAAAATTCCCCAAACACTTCTCCCAATATCATCCAGTCCAAGTCCTGGGATTAAGACTTAAGCCAATGATTTATTTATGGTCAGCAGAGCAGACATAAAACCAGTGATGTATCACCTCCTGTCTCTGACTGCTGGTAGCTGGACAGATTGACGGTAATAAGCTGTTTATCTAAATCTATTCACCAGGATGTCAAACAGGAATTTCGCTGCAGATTTACCGACTGATCCGCAGACCGATGGAAACGGTCTGCAGCGTCTCTGCAGCGACACAGAAAAATATTACCATACATTAATTAAGACACAGAGAAGATTACATCCTGAAACAGTTTTGGCAACAAAAATACTGTTAAATGAACCAAAAGGTATCCAGAAAATGTTCCAGTGACAAGAACTGCCCAACATCCCCATAACAGGAGCTATTATTGGGAAACAAATTATTATGGTTAATTTTGATTCATTAATTACATAGATTTTAATGCATACATTTTTAAAAATGAAATTAATCAAAATTAATTTGTATTTTTTTTAATAAAAATGATGTGATGGATGACAAAGCCGGATGGAGTTAAATAAGTTCCAGCGTGTCAAACGGATCGGGAACGCCGTCTTTCACTCCAAAAGGTTAATTTAGAAGAAGCACTTCCCTCTGTGAAGGCTGTGTTTTCAGTGAGAACTGCACCAGCATCAACTCCACGGATAAAAGCAACACCACCCGCTTGGTGCGACTTTAAGAGCTGATTTGTAGTTAAACTGTTTGTATCAAACGAGCAGTGAGGAAGAAGTTATATTTCTTCAATATTTCCTCAGAATATTGTGAGGCTTGTGACTGTCATCTCACACACACTCGCTCAATAACTGCTCTGACACACGCTTGGCTCCGTGTTGCAACTTGATCTATAAATAATGTCTTCCAGTAACATGATTACCTCGTCATATTGTCACATTTCCTGTCAACATTTTTTCAACACAAAGACCCGGCTGGTCAGCTGTCCTGATGTTGTTATTGAAATCTGGGCAATAAAATATTTTAGTTTTATTATTTGAAAAAGGAGTTAAATGATTTGGTTATTTGAATTTTTATTGTATTTTTAATATTGTATAAAATAAGATAAAGTGGTTAAATAAAAAATGTGTCAATTCGTGTCAGAATATTTAACAAATTAATCGATGACTAAAATCATTTTCACTTGCAGCGTTTATATTCATCATAGGATGGAATCAGAATTTGTCTGTACGTTTTGTATTCATGTCAAGTCTGACAATAGATAAATATATAATAAAAACCCTAAAAGTTCAGTTAGGTTTTGTTTCGTATCATCAGCAGCCCTCACTCAGCCGCCCCTTGGCCAACTCTCCAAGCCGTCCTGGTTGTGTGTCGACCATCACTGGATCATCCCAGGAGACGACCAACACATTTGCCTCTAAATGTCTGATTTGTCAGCGTTTAGTCGTTTAATGAACAATAAACTGCATAAAATGTTCAGGTTCCTGCTGGAAGTGCAGAAACTATGGATGCATACATGCAGAGCCAAACCTGATTTATTTTAGACCAACATAAACGTTATAAAGGATACTTAAGGACTTCAGAATTACTAAATTACTTACAATTCTTTAATACTTTCACATCCATAAACGTATCTGTTCAAAGCAGTTTGGGTTGAATCTACAGAATAATTTAGAGTTATGATAATGCATATTTAAAAGCTGTTAGTTTGTGGTTAACGAGGATCCGACCTGCGTACCTGTTCCAGAGGGATGTGCTTGACCAGTCCGCTGACCACGGTCCGGGGCGCCGCCTCGCCCACATCCACCTGCTCCACATACAGGCTGTCGGCGTCCGGATGCTTCTCAGCTGTGATTATACGGCCAACACGCAGGTCCAGACGGGACACGTCCACCTTGGCGTCCTCCTGGCTCGGAGCCGCTGCCTTCTTCTCTGCTTTCTCACCTGAAAGCAGAAAAACTCCAGTGAAAACCATGAAACCAGGCGGTTTGCAGGAAGGTCAGGCTGGTCTGAATGTGGCCAAAGACGAGCAGCTGGGGCTGATTTCATGCTCTATAATTGTGCATATCAATACAAATATTTGTTTAAAAAGATGAATGGGCCCCAAACTGATACTGGCCTTATGAATATCACAGAAATTAAAAACCACTTGAAACAATGCAGGACATTTTTGTTGGAATCTGATTAAATTTCCTCCCAGAACTGGAACCAGACCGGATTGATGAATGGCCGGAGGAAGGCCTCGAGTTAACCTCAGCGGTTCCTTTTCCAGGACGATAATCAGAACAACGTCTCCACCTGAACACAGCCGGGGGAGAGAAGGTCTTCCAGCACAAATTACACTGAAATCTGGAGGCTGGGATCTTCAGGATGAGAAAGACGTCAGAAACGTTCAGAACGAGACGCAGCAAAACCAAACATCACTGACTGAGCGCCGGGACTTTCCCCGATTATGTTTCCTCTGATCCCAGTCCTTTATAACTCAGATATAATGTTTAAACAAAATACACTCAGTATTAATTGGATGAACGAATGAACGGACAGAGCCTGTAACAATCTGTTGCCTGATCATAAATCTGAACATTAATAAATAAACGTTACATTTTTAGCTCTTATCTTCTTTGATCTTAGAATCTCTGGATGTTTTGTTTTCCTTCCTGGAGTCAAATAGAGGAAATAAAACCAACAGCAGCTGAGACCATTAGTCATTTCAGCCATAATCAATCATCTCCACTGATCAAAACCCAACAACCTCCTCCACTTTCCTCCACCAACCTTTTTTCTCCTGCTTCTTCTTCTTGGGTTCGTCTTTGGGTTGGGGGTTCTGGGCAGCAGAGGGCAGGGAACCAGAGGCTGGAGCAGCAGACGGTTTGGGAGGAGCGGGCTTCGAACCCACATCAGCACCGGCGTCACCCGTCGGCATGGCAATGTCCCGCACTGCAGGGAGAACAACAGCAGAGACGGTTCAGACGATCTGGTCCAGTCAGTCCAGTCCGGTCCGGTCCAGACAGTCCAGTCCAGTCTGGTCCAGACAGTCCGGTCCAGTCAGTCCAGTCCGGTCCGGTCCAGACAGTCCAGTCCGGTCCAGACCAGACAGTCCAGTCCAGTCTGGTCCAGACAGTCCGGTCCGGTCCAGACAGTCCAGTCCGGTCCAGACAGTCCAGTCCAGTCCGGTCCAGTCTGGTCCGGTCCAGACAGTCCAGTCCGGTCCAGTCTGGT